TCCTGGCCAGGATCACCCTGGGCCCAGGATCGGTGTATATGCCTTCTTGCCCAGGGCAGGAGGGCGTATGCACCGATCCTGGGCCCAGGGTGATCCTGGCCAGGATCGGTGCTGGTGTATAGTTGGTGCCTTCCTACGATGTATGTGTAATCTGTTGCAACACAAAGGAGGCTCCAGGGTTAGGTCGGGCCTCTCCCCCTTCGGGGGGCATTTTGGGCGAAACATCAAGACTACCCCAAACAATATTCGGAGAATGCTCAACAGAAATTGTAAACATACAATCGACTCCCAGACTATTTTTTCCCCTATGTTTGAAGCTTCCCCCTGTAGAGGGACAGGCCCGACTTGACTCGAGGGTGGGACAGGCTCGGGGGGTGAAGGCACCGACCCCCAGTGCGCCCATTTTAGGGGGCCACATGTGAACCCTACCCCCACCCCCCACGATTTCTGAGGGGGAGGGTGGGGTTCACTTCGTCCGGGAGCTCCCGAGCGAAGTGAACCCCACCCTCCCCCTCGGAAATCGCGGTGGGCAGGGGTAGGGTTCGCGTGCTGGCCCCTACCACACCTCGTCGAGGGGGGGGGGGCCCGCGGGCGCCCGCCCCGCCCCACGGCCGCGTGCGGCTGCGCCCCTCGGGGGGGGGCCCGCTGCCGATCCCCCTCGGAGCTCTCTGTGTGTGCGTGCCGCCGAGTCCCGGCGGATGCCGCCATCCCTCCTGTGTCGGGGGTGGACAGAGCCCCCAACAGTGACACGTCGATTAGTGAATTGTCCGTTTTCGGTTCTCGAGAGGGCGCCGCGGCCGTTATTTTCCAGGCTTGCGCCCGCCAGGTTTGGGCCTCAGGTCGTTTTCACTAAACCACGTTTACTAAACCACGTTTTACTAAAGGGAGCCTCGAGACGGGGGTCAGTGCAAACGGGGGTCAGCCAGGGCACCAGATCCTGCAGGATCCTGCGAAGACGCCCTCTGGCTGACCCGGGTCAGCGAGCCGCTCGTGGCCGCGAGGCGGCCGCGCCCATTGGCTGACCCGGGGTATGCGAGGACCTGCGTTGCAGTTTTTTTGTTCCTGCACTTCAGTTGTTTGGTTTCCTGCTGACCTGGGTCTGGATTGACCGGGGTCAGAAGATCCCCGACCTGTGCCAGTCCTCCCCTGTCGCGGCCTCCCTCAGGAGGGAAAGGAGCACACAGACACAATGAATCGTCGATTCCCCCGAGAAAATGTGGGAACCTATGGAAGTGTGGGGGGGAAGACCAAAACCCAGAACACATGGGAACATACGGGGACTCCTGTCATTTGTGTGCATTTATTTGTGTGTCCCAGGGACCCTTCACTCTTGCGGGAGTCGGCGGCGGGAAGGGGTCGTCCGCGGCAGAGGAGGGCCTCCCGAATATGACGCCCCGTGCCTCCGAGGGTGCACGAGGGGCGCGTGCCGAGCCAGCTCAAGGGGTGCAAGAAGCTGGTCCAGCTCAGCCTGGGATCCCTGGTGGCGGGTGGACGAAGCGGTTGGGCGACGGACAAAATCTGGTCCTCGCCTTCGCTTTCGTCGTCCTCCTCACCCTCATCAGCCTCGTCGTCGTCGTCGTCGTCGTCGTCGTCGTCGTCGTGGTATCCGGGCCATAAGCGGGAAGGGTGACGAGTCGGAGTTATCTGTAGGGACAGTGATCGAGGAGGAGGACCGCACTGGACCCAAGATGTACCAACGATGCGGTGGGGGAGGGGGGGGGGTGGGGGGCTGGGGGGGGGGGGGAGGGGGGGGGGGGGGGGGGGGGGGGGTGAGGGGACGAACCGATTGGGCGACGGACAAAATCTGGTCCTCGCCTTCGCTTTCGTCGTCCTCCTCACCCTCATCAGCCTCGTCGTCGTCGTCGTCGTCGTCGTCGTCGTCGTCGTCGTCGTCGTCGTCGTCGTCGTGGTATCCAGGCCATAATTAGGCGGGAAGGGTGACGAGTCGGAGCTATCTGTAGGGACAGTGATCGAGGAGGAGGACCGTGCTGGACCCAAGATGCACCAACGATGCTGCAGTGCACTCTGCCCCCAAAGTCCCCGCGTCGTCGGCCCCTGCGCGGAGGCGGCCAGGCACGGCCAGCAGAGGCTCCTCCTCCTCCTCCTCCTCCTCCTCCTCCTCCTCCTCCTCCCAGACTCCTCCCAGCCTCCTCCTCCTCCTCCTCCCATCCTCCTCCTCCTCCTCCTCCTCCTCCCTCTTCCCTCCCTCCCCTGTCCTCCCTCCCTCCTCCCACCTTCCTCCCTTCCTCCCTTCCTCCATTCCTCCCTTCCCACCTTCCTTCGTCCTGCACTCCTCCCTTTCTCTCCCTGCTGTTCCTCCCGCGGTCTGGGTCGGGAGCTGCGGCCCGCCGGCCGGAGGCGGATGCACCGCTCTCTCTCTCTCTCGCTCTCTCTCTCTCTCTCTCTTTCTCTCTCTCTCTCTCTCTTTCTCTCTCTCTCTCTCTTCTTCTCTCTCCCTCTCTCGCGCTCCGCCCTTCCAGGGCTCTCCTTCGAGCGGTACGGAATGCGACGGGCTTCAGGAGGGGCAAAAACACAGACACAATTAATCGTCGACCCCAGGAAGATATGGATATATATATATATATATATATATATCCAGGATATATATATATATATATATATATATACATATGTATGGGGGGAGGACGAACACCCAGGATATATATATATATATATATGTATATATATGGACATGTGGGGAATCCTTGGATTTGTATCTATTTCGTTGTGTGTCCCGGGGCCCCTTGCAAGGCTGGGGCCAACCTCCAGGGATGTGCCCAGCGACAGCCCCCGCCCTGAGCAGACACCGGCCTGCATCCCGCGTGGCCGTTATGCAGACTGGCAAGCCTCCTCGTCATGACATCGAGCGCTGTCCAAGGCGAGAGAGCCCCACTGAAGCTCGGAGGAGGAAAAGGGTACCTACACCTCCGCCCTCGCCTCGTTTTCCCCTTTTTGGGGCCCTCCTGGGCGGCCCTCGTCGCCACCGCTGGATTCGCCTCGGAATTCGATTCAGAGCGCACCCCAGGGGAGGTCCGGGGAGAAGCGGTATCGGTACCTCTTGGCTTCCCCAGAAAGGAAGCCGCCATCCATCCATCCGTGATACCTTGCGAGGCACCCCCTTCTTTCCGGTGGAACTATGCCGGTTCTCGCCCCTGGAATTCAGGGATATCCCATCCCCGGACCCGTCAGTGCAGGATCCCACCAAGCTCTTGATAGGATTCCATGGAGACCCGAACCGGATCCCAATCGAACTTCGACAGGGTTCACAAAGATGATCACAGCAGGATCGGATCCCAGTAGGACTTCACCATGGGACTCGCCCACAGAGGTCCACCAGGGGAGCGTACCTAGTGTCCTTGTTGATTGCCTTCTGTGGTGTGTTGAGATTGTCTCACGGCTGCCTCAGGAATTTGGGCCGTCGCCAGGGGCCCTTGCTTGTCACAAGTACGTCATTCGTCGTAGTGCTAACGATGTGGCTCGGCGGCTCCCCCCTTGGAAGGATTTAATTCCCTGGAGAGAGCTACGGATGACGCCCGCGGGATCGCTCGATTGCGTTCCTCATATCTGCCCGGCGCGAAGGCGAGAGCCACGTTTCGAGAACGGCCCGCTCCCTCCATCCGCGAAGCTCCTGCAGCTTTTGAGGACGAGAGCGCGCGGCGATGACTGCGAGAGCCACGGTTTGGAAGCGGCCCGCCCACCATCCGTGACACTGCTGCTGCAGGTGTGTCCAGCTCAAGGGCTACAAGTGTTATGTCGGGCGTGTTCCCCTACAGGGGGATTTTCGACGAAAAAATAAAAATACCCCAAAATATTCCAAACAGATCAAAAAATGCTCAAAGAATAGTCCCCCTACTATTTTTGGAGCATGTTTTCATTATTTTGGGGGTATTTTTTATATTTCGTTGAAAATCCCCTTGTAGGGGGACAGGCCCGACTCTAGAGAGACGTCTCGCGGGCAGCGCCCGGCCCACCCAATCGGCACGCCTCGGGGTGCAGAGCAGAGAGGCGTTCTGCGCAAGGAGACGGACGAGGGATCGACGAGGAGGAGGGCCTACATCCTCCCCCCCTTCCACCCTCGCCCTTTGTTCCTCCGTCCTCCTCCCTCTCCCCTTCCTCCTGCCCTCGCCCCTCGTCCTCGTCCTCGTCGTGGCCCCCCTCTCGCGCCGCAGGTGGGGGGCACGAGGTATCGTGGCGAGTTCGAGCAGCGCATGCAGAGCCTGCTGAAAGAGATCCCAGAGAAGCTGGCGCTCCCTCCGCAGACAACCCCGGCAAAGGGGGGTGGGGGGCGCGCACCCGCAGCGCACGCGCCACGAGGGCCGGACCTCGAGCAGGGTGTCGGGCCGCCTTCGCGGTTATATGGCGCCCCCGGTCTTTGAGAGTGCTCGCGAGCACTCTCGAAAGCCTAATTTTTGGTCGCGAGCGAACCCCGGGCGTCGCGTGCACTGACTCGGCGAACGAGCACCTCAAAGTACTCCTCGTTCGCGGAGCGGCTGCTCACGAGCAGCTCGTGGGCAGCCGCTCCGCGAACGAGCAGGCGCGCGAGGACATGTAACATGCTCGAGCGCCACGGAGGGGCCGTGAGGGCGAGACCGTTGCGGAAGGACAGAGAGAGAGAGAGAGAGCAAGGCTCCCCTCCCCCCCTCACTCCATGGGGGGGGCGGGGCGCGGAGGAGAGGAAGAGCGGGGAGAGGGGAGGTGATGATCTTGACGCTCTTGGCTCCTCCTTGGGCCTCCTCGAGGGCCGTAGTCGTCGCGGCGGGATCTGATCTGCCGAGGTCAACACGCCCCACGAGCCATCATCCCCTTCCCCCCCGCCCCTTCGCTCCCAAAGAGGGACGGGGGAGAGGGATGGTTCGGTAGCAAAGCATGGGAGCCTAGTACAGGCGGCCCGGATTAGTAGGTCGACCCTGCCAGATCAAGGGTACCCTTGTGTCCTGTGTCTCGCGACCCATGCTTCGTACATTCCTGTGGCGATGTGGCCCTGGTCTTGTGTCCTCTCGCGTGTCCTCTCCAATCAAGCCCGACTGTATACCCTCGTGATTCCGTCTTTGGCGTCGCTTGGCGTCGAGCAGCGTCTGGGCGGGGATGGAGATGGCACCGATCTGGCGTCGGTCAGCGTCGATTTGGCGTCGATTTAGCGTCTGGACTTGGCGTCGGTGTGCAAGAGCCGACAAGACGGTATGGGAGGCTCCTGCGAGCTGCCGCCGGGGGATGGGGACGGGAGAGGCCGGGCAGCACGCAGAGGGGCCGGGTGAGGCCGCGAGAGCGGGGGGGGGGGGCAAGACCAGGAGGGGAAGAAACACACACAGACACGAGTCATCGTCGCTGCCCAGGAAAAGTAGATATGCGAGAGTAATGGAGGATGACGATTAATAAATGACCGGGGGTCGTGTTCACGCGGCGGCGCCTCGGATGACGATTAGAAAAAACCGGCCGCGGGCTGGAAAACTATGTTTCAATCGTTCTCCTCCAGTCAGAAAATTATGCAGAAATAGCAGACAACTATTTTTTAAATCGTTCCCTCCCATTTTTTGTTGAATCGTCATCCCGCATTGTGGGAAGTGTGGGGGGGGGAAGACCAGAACCCAGAAGATCTCGGGAAAAGACATCTGGGAACAGTCCTGTGGTTTGTGTCTGTTGATCTGTGTGTCCCTCCTCCTCCTCCTCCTCCTCCTCCTCCTCCTCCTCCCAGGGCCCCGTCTTGAAGAGAAGCGGCGAGGGGCGGAGGCGCAGAGGGCGGAGGGGGCGCGAAGGGGAGTGCCCGGAGGAGGGCTGGACGGCGCGGGGCCGCCGGAGGGACCCCCGAAAGGCACAGGTCGTCCCTTTCCTGGGGAAAAACTTACCCATCGGTCGTTGAAAGTAGGTATTTTTGGATTCCCAGATTCCAATCTACTTTCAGCGCCTTCCTACTTCAAGAGTCGAGTGGTTTTCCTTCTTCCTTCCTCTTCAGGAGGCGTGCGGAAACCCAATCTATTTCCAACGCCTTCCTACTTCATGGTTCTACCTACTTCTTCCGACCGATGGGTACGTTTTCTGCATATTCCCTTCTTTGGTCTTGAAAGCGTCCAAGACGGCCCAGCCGCGGCCCGCCGATGCGGGCCGCGGGGGAGTGCCCGGAGGTGGGCTGGACGGCGCGGGGCCGTCGGAGGCTCGGGGGCGGCAAAGAGGGGGGTGATGACTAGGGGGGGTGGACATCATGGCGTGGGCCATGATATTTCCGCAGATTTCATGGCGCCTCTTCTTATTTCATTACGTCCCAGGCCCCCCGCTGGGCCGCGCACATGCCGCCGGTCATGTGTTGCACCCCCCCCCCCTCTTGGACACCCCCCTCTTGGCCGCTCCTGAGAGGCAGATGGGAGCCCCGCGCCGCCGGCTCCTCCGCGGAGGCTCGGTGCCGCTCGGGTGCGCGCACTGTTTCTCAGCGACGGGCCTGTCCCCCTACAGGGGGATTTTCGACGACGAATAAAAACTACCGCCAACATCTTCGAGGATAATACGGGACGTGAAAACGACCACAGCCACTGCTTTTCTTTTGTTGCCGCCTTCCAGCCAGCAGAAACAAAGCAGTGGTTGTGGTCATGTTCGTTAAGTTTGGCACCAGGGAAATGACCACAACCACTGTTTCTTTTTCGGCCGGCTGGAAGGCGGCGCAAACAAGAAGCAGTGGCTGTGGTCATTTTCCCGTCCCGCAGAAGAGGTACCCACGCCTCTGCCCTCCGCCCGTGTTGCCCCCTGCCCCGGCCTCCTGGCAGGCCCTCGTCGCCACCGCTGGACTCGCCTCGAGGGGCCTGGGCAGAGCGCGCACAGGGAGAATTCAGGAGGGGAATTATCCCGGCAAAGCAACCTAACAGCGATGTGTAGGAGCATATCTGGAAGCATTCCCCTTAAGATTCAGATGAGAATCCAGTTGTAGAATTTTGCTGTTCTCGCAGTCGCAGTCGCATTCGCGATGACAGTCGCAGTGGCAACGGCAGTCGCAGTCACAGCCTCAGCCTCAGCCTGCCTCAGCCTCAGCCTCAGCCTGCCTCAGCCTCAGCCTGCCTCAGCCTCAGCCTCAGCCTGCTTCAGCCTCAGCCGCAGTCTGCCTTCAGCCTCGGCCTCAGCCTCAGCCTGCCTCAGCCTCAGCCTGCATCAGCCTCAGCCTCAGCCTCAGCCTGCCTCAGCATCAGCCTGCCTCAGCCTCAGCCTCAGCCTGCCTCAGCCTCAGCCTCAGCCTGCTTCAGCCTCAGCCTCAGTCTGCCTTCAGCCTCGCCTCAGCCTCAGCCTGCCTCAGCCTCAGCCTGCATCAGCCTCAGCCTCAGCCTCAGCCTGCCTCAGCATCAGCCTGCCTCAGCCTCAGCCTCAGCCTGCCTCAGCCTCAGCCTCAGCTGCTTCAGCCTCAGCCTCAGTCTTCCTTCAGCCTCGGCCTCAGCCTCAGCCTGCCTCAGCCTGAGCCTGCCTCAGCCTCAGCCTCAGCCTCAGCCTGCCTCAGCATCAGCCTGCCTCAGCCTCAGCCTCAGCCTGCCTCAGCCTCAGCCTCAGCCTGCTTCAGCCTCAGCATCAGTCTGCCTTCAGCCTCGGCCTCAGCCTCGGCCTGCTTCAGCCTCAGCCTGCATCAGCCTCAGCCTCAGCCTCAGCCTGCCTCAGCCTCAGCCTCAGCCTGCCTCAGCCTGCCTCAGCCTCAGCCTGCTTCAGCCTCAGCCTCAGTCTGCCTTCAGCCTCGGCCTCAGCCTCCGGTGCCTCAGCCTCAGCCTGCATCAGCCTCAGCCTCAGCCTCAGCCTGCCTCAGCCTCAGCCTGCCTCAGCCTCAGCCTCAGCCTGCCTCAGCCTCAGCCTCAGCTCAGCCTCAGCCTTCAGCCTCGGCCTCAGCCTCAGCCTGCCTCAGCCTCAGCCTCAGCCTCAGCCTCAGCCTGCCTCAGCCTCAGCCTCAGCCTCAGCCTCAGCCTCAGCCTCAGCCTCAGCCTCAGCCTGCCTCAGCCTCAGCCTCAGCCTGCCTCAGCCTCAGCCTCAGCCTGCTTCAGCCTCAGCCTCAGTCTGCCTTCAGCCTCGGCCTCAGCCTCAGCCTGCCTCAGCCTCAGCCTGCATCAGCCTCAGCCTCAGCCTCAGCCTGCCTCAGCATCAGCCTGCCTCAGCCTCAGCCTCAGCCTGCCTCTGCCTCAGCCTCAGCCTGCTTCAGCCTCAGCCTCAGTCTGCCTTCAGCCTCGGCCTCAGCCTCAGCCTGCCTCAGCCTCAGCCTGCATCAGCCTCAGCCTCAGCCTCAGCCTGCCTCAGCATCAGCCTGCCTCAGCCTCAGCCTCAGCCTGCCTCAGCCTCAGCCTCAGTCCTGCTTCAGCCTCAGCCTCAGTCTGCCTTCAGCCTCGGCCTCAGCCTCAGCCTGCCTCAGCCTCAGCCTGCATCAGCCTCAGCCTCAGCCTCAGCCTGCCTCAGCATCAGCCTGCCTCAGCCTCAGCCTCAGCCTGCCTCTGCCTCAGCCTCAGCCTGCTTCAGCCTCAGCCTCAGTCTGCCTTCAGCCTCGGCCTCAGCCTCAGCCTGCCTCAGCCTCAGCCTGCATCAGCCTCAGCCTCAGCCTCAGCCTGCCTCAGCATCAGCATCAGCCTGCCTCAGCCTCAGCCTCAGCCTGCCTCAGCCTCAGCCTGCCTCTGCCCAGCCTCCTCAGCCTGCCTCAGCAGTCAAAATGTGGCCTGGGAATGGAGTTCTGGGAACTCGAAGAACACGAAGTGGCCTACAGTTGGCTCCGGGCATTCAAAATCATGCCCAGGAATGGAGTTCTGGGAACTCGAAGAGCACGAAGTGGCCTACAGTTGGCTCCGGGCATTCAAAATGTGGCCCGGGAATGGAGTTCTGGGAACTCGAAGACCACGAAGTGGCCTACAGTTGGCTCCGGGCATTCAAAATCATGCCCAGGAGTGGAGTTCTGGGAATTCGAAGACCACGAAGTGGCCTACAGTTGGCTCCGGGCATTCAAAATCATACCCAGGAGTGGAGTTCTGGGACCTCGAAGACCACGAAGTGTGTAACGGTTTGCTTAAAACGACTTCCGCGGCTTCTCCCCAGCACCCGGCCAGACCCCCCTGGGGAGTCAAGATCCTCTCTTTTGACACTACTAGAAACCTATCAGTCTTCGCTGTTAGGTAAAAACACACAGACACAATTAATCGTCGATCCCCAAGAAAATATGCAAACATATGGGAAGTGGGGGGAAGACAAACACCCAGAAAGTATGAGGAAGTATGGGGAATCTTTTTATGTGTGTGTGTGTATTTGTTGGTGTGTTTGTTGGCCCCTTCCTAGCGGTGCGGCCGGTTCGCGTCGTGTCGGCGGGCGGCGACCCCAGCGCGGGCGTTTCAGGTTGAGCGCCGCCTGTGGCCCAGAATCTGCCCGTCCTTGAACGATGTAGCCTTTTTGATCTTTTGGACGCCCGGAATTGGACGCGGACGCCTGCCTCCGCCCCGTCCAATTCCTCGAGGAGGGCGTCTTCCTCGGAGTCCTCCTGCTCCTCGTCGTGGAGGTCGTTCCAGTTCCTCCTCGCGCCCCGGGCGTCGTCGCCGAGCTCGGCGTCCAGGTCGGGCGGGCGGGGCGGCTTTCCTGCGGCCGCCAGGGCAGCGTGGGCAGCAACCATCGCCGCCAGCAGCTCTGGACGTCCAAAATGAGCACGGAAAACATGGGTACAATGCCCAACAGCAGATGTTGTCCCAAACCAACAGCGGCCGCTGTTGGGCAGGCGGCCTTCTGTCTCGAATGGACACAGGCCGCGGCGGCGCGGACAGCGAGTCCTGTCCAAGATGAACAGGGACTGCTGTTGGGCATTGCACCCATTCTTTCCGTACCCAATCCGGGCGTCCAAAGACATGGCCGATCGCTCAAGTTTGGACGATCCCCGCGGTGTGAGGAACTAAGGCCGGGGTCGACACGACGCGAACCTGCCGTATCGGTACCTTATGGACCTCATTGATCCCTGAAGTCAGGCCTGTTCCTCTACACGGGGAGTGTTCAAACATAGTAACAAACATAGCCTGGGAACGTTTTTTTGTTTGTTTGTTTGTATTTTTTGGCATTGTTGGGGCATTTTGGGGGTATTCTTGATTCTTCGTAGGGGGACAGGCCCGACTTAACCCTAGAGTCGATGGGCAAATTTACTTTTGTTTCTTTCTCGAGAAGGCGCTGCGACGGCAGCTGTGGCGGGCCTGCGCCCGCTGGCCTGGTCCCGGGGCGTTCTCGCCAGAGGGCGTTGCTTGAAAGTGAGCACGGCGGTCGGCAGACGCGAGAACGCAGACGTGCAGCGAGATGCGAGCCACACTATGGTTAAGTCGGGCCTGTCCCTCTACAGGAGGAATATTCAAAAATAGTTTAAATATAATATGGGGACCACTTTTTCAATATTTTTTTGCCATGTTGGAGTATTTTGTGTATATTTTTCATTGTTCCGTCGAAAATCCCCTTGTATGGGGGACACGCCCGACTTAACACTATGGAGCAGAATCGTGAGCAGGGTGACACGCGATCGTGTTCTGATTCGTTGTTTTGCCGATCGGCGCGGCCCCTCGCGCCCCCCCTTCCCCCCACCCCATATAGAGTGTGCCTCGGCAATGTGTGGCGCCCTTTTCGAGCAGGCGGAGTCTCTCCCCCATAGGACGCGCTGTTGCAAACAGTCGCGTGAAGCAGAGGTCCGGAGCCAGACCCCCCCCCCCCACTCCCCCCCTTCTCCGTCCAATGTCGAAACGCCGAACAAGCAAGCGGTCGCGAGCAGCATGACACCACGAAAGGAGCGGGCACTCAGCACGTGAGCCATGCGTGGAGCACGTGTGGGATATGCTCACTCTCAGATTCCCGAAGGATTGCAAAAAAAACCCAAGAATTGCAAAACAAAAAAAAAGGATTGCAAAAAAACCCAGGATTGCAAAAAAAACTAAGGATTGCAAACAAAAACAGTTTGTTTTGCAATCCTTCGCTTCTTGCATGCCGCCCCAGCGTATGGGGCGTGCCAGCAAAAGGCCTTGCCGTCGAGGATCCGCAGGAGCTGCCATCGCTTCCGTCCGCGGCGGTAGGTCGGCGGGCGAGCAAAAAAAACGAGGGCGGCTCCGCCGGCGGAAGCCTCGGCGGCAGGCGGCGGAGGTACGAAAAGGCGCCCCCAAGAGAGGAACACGTTTTTTTTTGGGTACAGGGCTTCTGGAGTCCGCCACGTGTGCACCTTGGAGTGAGGAGGAGGAGGAGGAGGAGGAGGAGGAGGGGGAGGAGGAGGAGGAGGAGGAGGAGGAGGAGGAGGAGGAGGAGGCGGAGGCGGAGGAGGAGGAGGAGGAGGAGGAGGAGGAGGAGGCGGAGGAGCATCCCACGAACCACCGAGCACAGAGCACGACACCGAGAGCTGCACGGGGAAGGGGCGTCCGAACGAGGGCACGCCCCCCGGAATCCGCCACATGTGCACCCCAGTGAAAGGCTGCAGTAGCCACGAGAAGAGACTTTTTTGATCTGCGGCTCCAAGGACGACTCCAGAGAGCGGGGTTCGAAAACAAGCCTGGACGCCGAGCGAGATGATTACCAGCGGGCCAAACGCCAACGCAGGGATGCAACGAGTAATCAACAGCGGGCCAGGCCGCCGCGGGTGCAGAGGCGAGAGATCCGACGCACAGGCACAGGCGCCCCGAGGACGAACCCAGAGAGCGGGCCAAGCACGAGAAGCTACGCGTATCGTCGGAATGCTACTCCAGATTTCGTAATAAAAGGGAGGGGGTCTGGACCCTCCAAGACAAGCCATTTCAGACCCCCCCCCGCGGGAGAACCCTCCCAAACATCGTCCCCAGACCCCCCCAGGCCCTCCAAGATAGCCTGGAAGAGACCCCCCCCGAAATGAGACCCCCCTCCCTTTATTACGAAATCTGGAGTACGCGTATCGTCGGAATGCTACCCCTCGCAGTGCCCTGGGTCTGCAGTCCTCTCGTGCTCGTTCTCGGCACGAGGCAGGCTCCGCGAGGGCCCGCGGGGTGGAGAGGAAGGCGGGCCCCTTATCACAAAGACAGAGGCTCCTGCGGCGCCTCGTGCCCATTCCCGCACGTCGCCCCCCAAAAGGCCCCCAAGAGAGGCCCCAGCAGGCACCCCAACAGTGCCCCAAGACGACGGCCCCGAGAGCGCTCCGAGACGGCCCCAAGAGGCCCTCAAGAGGGCCCCAAATCCAGGCCCATGGAAGCAAGACGGAGTCCCTCTCCACCACCTGATGCTGGCAGGCGCGATGCTGGCTCGAGCGAGACGGTTGTTTCTGGCAACCATGGTGCCCACTCTCCCTCCCGGTCCTCCCTGTCCTCCTCCTCCTCCTCCTCCTCCTCTTCCTCTTCCCCTCCTTTGCCCGAGCCCCGAGTCCAGGGCCATCGCGGGTTTCTGCACTCGGCCCTGCAGAGGTTCGTCGCGAGTCACTCCCCTCAGCTTTCCTCCGTCTCTCGAACCTGCGCGGGGGAGCAGCAGCAACATGGGAAAGCGCGATGCTGGCCCGCATCGCGCGGCTCCCTATCACAGTGGAAGGGGGCCTTGTGTGGCATGCTCGCTGGTGAGCCGCTCCTTCGCACCCTTCGAGGGCGCGCGCGGATCTACGACGCTGGAGACCGAGCGGCAGTGGTTTCGCCCGGCACGGGGTGTGTTTCAGCCGCCTGCCTTGCATCGCTCGGACGTGTGCGTTTTTCCTTCGGCGAGGACCAGCGAGGAGCATCCTCGATCATTTGGCGAAAAACCACGCACGAAAGCGGAAAAAAACACAGGGAACGGACGTCCGAGCGATGGCCAGCTGCCGACCTGTGCAGGTGGTGGGTGCGCTGCCTCTGCCTGGCTGCCTGCATTCACAGCGGCCTGCGTTCCAGCCTCATCCGCTGCGTCTATCACTTGCCGTACGGTGGAGGCGTTTGTTAAGGAACAGTCCCAGGAGGCGCCAGACCTGGAGGAGTCCTTATCCAATGAGGGCGGCGGTGACATCCATGGCCGATCCAGGATTGGAGTTCCACTGGCTTCCAGACCCCGGATTGCTTATCCAAGGCTTTCTCATTCAATGCCTCCGCCGTACTTCCACGCGCAACAAAGACCGATGCAGTCTGAATACTTGAGCAGGCCGACAGGTTTTTCCTCTTGAGGCCCACATGACACATGCGAAGTTTCGCCCGCCCCTGGTTTGTGTTTCCCTACTCGTCCCCGTCTGTTGTGTCTCTCGGTAGCGAAACCCCTCCCCCGTAGAATCATAGCTTGGGCTGCAGGTGCAAGGCTCCGTGGATCCATTTCCCCTTGGGTCCCTTGTATTAATTACTATCATAAGTTTATTCCAGCAAAAAATTGGATCCACGAAGCTTCCACGCCAAACAATTGAATCCAGAAGACACGGAAATTGGATCCACGTGACTCTCGCACACACGTAATTGGATCCAAATGGATCCATGCGTTCTCATGCAAGAGGACAAATGTTCGGCCTGGGGATGTATGTTCAGGCCTTGCTTCCTTGTCTGCCCATCCTGCTCCTGTTCCGGTCAAGACGCACTCCTCCAGTGCAGTGGAGGTATTCTCGAGATGTGTTGCGCTCGAAACATACTCCGACATTGATTTTCTTTGCGTGAAAAAACGTCTTGCATAGTATTCGGCGCGATACTTCAGCGGCACCATAAAGGGTACTCAGTAACGGGTACTTTGGAAGTTTGCTGACAGTTGCCACTTTAGGGTCCCTTGCTGGCATTGCAACATTGCCTGCTTCGGGAAGGGTTGACTTCGCCGGGCCGCTACTCAAAGTACCCGCTAGTGGAGTCCCCGTGAGAGGGCCGCTGGTTGAGTCCGAGGGGAAGCTCCAGCTTCCTGGGGACGCTGCCCGCACCTGGCCCGGCACGCCTTCCTCCACGCCCTGGGGCCCTGTGCAGCTTTGGCGCGCCGTCAGGCCCTCGGGGGCTGGGTGCGTCGGAGGCGGCCGCGCACCAAGCAGGGCTCGTCCTCGAGGCCTCCTCCTCCTCCTCCTCCTCCTCTTGCTCCTCCTCCTCCTCCTCCTCCTCCTCCTCCTCCTCCTCCTCCTCCTCCTCCTAATGCTACCCCTCCTCTTCCGTCTCATTCCTCCTTCTCCCTTCCTTCTTCCTCCTGGTCCTCCTCCTCTTCCTCCTCCTCCTCCTCCTTCTCCTTCCTGCTCATCCTCATCGACGCCTCCTCCTCTCCTCCTTGTCTCCTCCTCCTCCCCCTCCACCTCCTTCTCCTCCTTGCCTCCTCCTCCTCCTCCTCCTCCTCATCCTCCTCCTCCTCCTCCTCCTCCTCCTCCTCCTCCTATCCTCCTCCCCTCCTCCCCAACCTCCTCCAGCCACGCGCCAGCAGTGCTCGTCCGTGCCGTCCCTCCCCAGCCACGCGCCAGCAGTGCTCGTCCGTGCCGTCCCTCCCCAGGAGACGAGGTCATCCTCTTCATCGACGAGATCCACATGGCCCTGGGGGCAGGAGCTCCGCCCTTCAAGCAGGGAGAGGGGAGCGGCAGCTGGTAGCCAGAAGAAGCGGCAAGCCTGGACTTGGGCTGCCTCCAGAGAGGCCGGGCCCGAAAGACAGCAGGGCGGACCGCAAGTCTCAGGAGGGGAAAAACACACAGACACAATTAATCGTCGATTCCCAGGAAGATCTAGGAAAATATGGGAAGTGGGGGGGAAGACAAAAACCTAGAAAATATTGGAAAATATGGGGAATCTTTTTATTTGTGTGTATTTATTTGTGTTCTGGGGCCCCTTCAAAGGCGCGAGGGCGCGCCTGTGGCAAGCACGTCCCCGCCTGCAGCGGCCGACGATGGCGGACCGCACGCGCACACGCAAGCCAGCAGCTCACAGGTAATTACCTTTCCTGGACTGCCCGCGGGCTCCTCATCCTCCTGCTCCTCCTCCTCCTGCTCCTCCTCCTCCTCATCCTCCTCCTCATCCTCCACAATTACACAATATGAAAGTACTCTCCCACTTCCCCTGATGGCGTCTCGAAGATATCCGACCCCCCCCCGCGTATTGTTTTTTACACACAGGATTCCCGGGAAACGGGTTTTCGCCTGCGTTTTTTTCTGAAATGTTGCTCTCGCTGAGGCGCCGGCCTCATTTCTGCTCCCGAATCGTTCCGAATCGTGCTCCCGCTGCAGCGTGGGCCTCATTTTCGGATCGGTGTTTGGCCTCCGTCGTTCAGGATGGCGTTCTCGCCCCAGCGCGGGCCTCTTTCTCGCGCGCCCATCCGCCCGCCACCACCGCGCCGCACCACCACCACCACCACCACCACCACCACCACCACCACCACCACCACCACCACCACGACAACCACGCACACACGCACGCACGCACGCACGTGCACCACCACCCACTACGCACGCGCGCGCGGAGCCACAGGTCCGCTACGACACGCGTCCGCGGATAGAGAAAATCAGCGCCATGGTAAGGGATGGGAGGGAGGGGTAGGACGTCAGATATGACGCGAGCGCACCTAGCTGGTCCTCCTCCCCCTCCTCCTCCTCCTCCTCCTCCTCCTCCTCCTCCTCCGCCTCCGCCTGTGCCTTTCCTGCGCTGCCCGACGGTGCCTCCCACGTGGCTTTCCCAGGCGCCCGCAGACGCCTCCCGCGCGCCGTTCCTGGGCACTGGCCACAGGCACCCCGCGAAAACCCACCCGCATCCCAACACCAAGGGCAGTGCCACCACGAGCAGCATGGTCTCAATTCTGGGAGATCTTGAAGTATTTGCGTGCTCGTTAGGCTGTTCTCAGGGTGAGTGAGGCCCGCGCCAGTTCAGCGTGCGGTCTCAACTCGCGTTGGTCGTAAACACTCAACCTCGTTCCCTCGGTCTTGGGGCGGGAGGGTTTGCGGGCAGTCTTGGGGACATCTGGGGGCTTTCTTTGGGCAGTTGTGTGGGCCGTACGCCGTACGCAGGGTAAGGTAAGGCAACTTAGTGGCAGTTGAGGCGTACTCAAGCGGGCAACCTGACATGACGCATCATCATGGAGCAGGGCGAGGTGGACAGGCCACCAGTGCATTTTTCAAACGTGTCTTGTCGCTCTCAGGCAAGCCTGACCTGGCACGAGTGTTGAAACCAACCTTGTCTGTGGAGAGATAACCTTTTGTTATATGTGCCTGGGCTTGCCACCATGGAATGCTCTTCATTTCGGGTATCTCCATGTGGGGCATTGGGCCCTTGGCAAAGGGGCCCTGTTCTCGACCGAAGCTCTTCTGTCATGTTCCCCGACTGTGTGCGCTAGGCGTGCGACACGCCGTCTTTTGCATGGGATTGATGCCAGTGCCGACCTCTCCAGACCTCAACAGATGGAGATTGTTGCAGGCGGCACGTGCGGGATTACATCGTCCTCGCTGGCCGTTTGTATGCCAAGGTAGCGGAGAGGGCGGAGAAAGAGGATGAGTTGGAGGATTATGACGATAGGGGGGAGGTGGAGGAGGAGGAGGAGGAGGAGGAGGAGGAGGAGGACGAGGAGGAGGACGAGGAGGAGGAGGAGGAGGAGGAGGAGGAGGAGGAAGGGGTTGCTCGGGGTATCTGCTCTGCCTATCCTCTCTCCTCCTGCGCCACAGGCGAGACGGAGAAGGGCGGCAGCATGGATGCGGCGAACCTCCTCAAGCCGGCGCTTGCCCGAGGAGAGCTCCGATGCATCGGGGCCACAACCACGGCCGGAGGGGGAGCGGGGGGGCTGGCTCTGGAGGAGAACGTCGCTTCTCGCCGTCGTCGTTGTCCTCGTCGTCATTGTCCTCCTCGTCCTCCTCGTCGGCCTGTCGTCGTCCTCGTCCACCTCGTCGGCTCCGCGGCTTCTGGCCGTCCTACTCGTCCTCGTCTCCTCTCTCTTCCTGAGGTTTGGGCCGGCCGCGGCGCCAGGAGCCGCGTCTGGGAGGGCAGCAGCCGTGTGAGGAGAGCTGTGCAGACCCAGGCCTCCGACGCTGTGGGGAAATCATGGCGCTGGGGGCCTCGAATGACCTCTGAGGGTTTTTTGTTTTGATCCCCCCCCAACTTTTCACTCGGCGGTGAATAGGACTGGTCCTGAAACTATCCCCTCCTCCTCCTCCTCCTCCTCCTCCTCCTCCTACTCCCTCCTCTCCCCCTCCTTGTTGCTATCGTCGTCGATGTCGTCGTCGTTGTCGCGCGGTGGGTGCCGCAGGTGAATAAGGCCGCCGAACAAATAATTCGTTACCCCTTGTTGGGGGGACTAAAGACCCCGAGAGGTTACCCACAGCGCTTCGCGGCATCACGACGTCCAGAACGGCTGGGGGCTCAGGGATCGGCCGATGTTGTTTGGGTTCTCCTGGACCGGCAAGGGGCCTCATTCGGGCCGCCCTGGGCCCGTTGGGCGCGCTGGACCGCATTTGGACTTCTCCTGAGCCTTCGAAGCTGTTCGGCGGCGTCCCCACGGGAGTGTTGGTGCAACCTTGGGCGACCTGACGTTGAGGTACGTTTTTTGCCGCCGGACCCATCTGCCAGATTGCTTGCGTGGGCACACTTGGGCGGTAGGCTGGATGGTTTCCCTGTCGGTCGGCTGGCTGGTAACTCGCCTGCTTGGCGTGCTGTTTATACTGCTGATTGATAAATGGCTTGGGCCGTTTGCTGGCTGGCTGGTTGCGCGCTTGTATAAAGTCGGAGGTTGGGGGGTGATATCGAAATTGGACGGAGAGCCCCCCTACTGGGAAATCGATTTCGGTTTCGTGTTCGTGCGTGCCGTGCGTGCGGGCGAGGCGAAGCTGCGTGGGCGGGCGAGAGAAAGTCTCCTGTGGCTGAGGCGCGGCCGGACCAAATGATTGCCGTCCGGGCGTCTGGGAGCCCGCGGTGTCCCGCCCGGTGTCCCGCTGGGATCCCATGTGGCTGAGGCGCGGCCGGACCAAATGATTGCCGTCCGGGCGTCTGGGAGCCCGCTGTGTCCTGCCCGTGTCCCGTCGGTGTCCCGATGATGATGATGATGATGATGATGATGATGATGATGATGATGATGATGATGATGATGATGATGATGATGATGATGATGATGATGATGACGAGGATGAGGATGAGGATGAGGATGAGGATGAGGATGAGGATGAGGATGAGGATGAGGATGAGGATGAGGATGAGGATGAGGATGAGGATGATGATGGTGATGATGATGATGACGATGATGATGCTGATGATGATGACGATGATGATGACGATGACGATGACGATGACGATGATGATGATGGTGGTGATGATGATGTTGATGATGATGATCATGCTGATGATGCTGATGATGATGATGATGATGATGATGATGATGATGATGATGATGATGCGATCGATTTTGATATCGATAGTGAGATTGATCGAGTGAGATCGATCGAGTGAGATCGATAGTGAGATCGATAGTGCAAGAGGAGGAACGGGCTGCGCCAGCCTTTGCCAGCGCTCCAGTATTCTGTGACCACATGCCGCCATTGGCTGCCGTTGGGCAGGTTGGGCAGGTCCCAGGGGGAGGGACGAATGGTACCAAGGCGCCAAAGAAAAAAGGGTAATGTAAACAACTCGACACCGACGCTCCCAAGAGCGAGCGGCAACGCAACATTCTCCATTGTCATTGTCACAACAGCAATCACAACTGTTGCCCATTGCTGGGACCTCCCCCCCCAAACCTCCTTATCACCCGCAGGGTGGTCGTATAGGTACTGAGGGGTGGTAGCCTCGGGAATGCGTTTCCACTGCAAGTCACGAGGGTTCGCGGCTTCCGGAGCGCTCACCCCCGGCTATGATTGAGTCGGAGATGGATCGGCCTCCTACCCTGACACGTCGATTAAGGCATTGGCCGTTTTCGCTTCGCGAGAGGGCGTCGCGGCCGTCGTTTTTGCGGGTCCAGGTCCGTCGGCTTCGGTCCCAGGCCTTCTTCACCAGGGGGAGGTTTGCTAAAGGGAGGTTTTGTCCACCGCCGGCTATGCTTGAGGCTTCGTGGCCTCGGGTCCAGCGCCGATTTCTCGGGCATCGATTCGGGGGGGTTCGAGCAGCGCCCCCCTCGCCCCCCGAAATTCACGGCGGGGCGGCCGGGGGAGCATCGCGCGGGACGGCGGGACGGCGGCTTGGCATCGCTCGGACGTGTGCATTTTGTCTCGGCGAGAACCATCGAGGGCCATCCTGGACCATCGAGCACAAAAAACACGCACGAAACCGACACATGCACGGGAACTGGACGTTCGAGCGACGGCAAGGGGCAGGCCGAATACAAGAAGGTCGTGCAGGGCAGGGACAAGGCCTTTGAGCGCCGCTTCGTGGTGGTGGAGCTCGATGAGCCTTCCGAGGAGATCGCGGAGCAGATGCTGGAGGATTGTTGTTTACGCTTAAGTCGGGCCTGCTCCTCTACAGGGGGAATATTCCAAAATAGTAAAAAATAGTCAGGGGACGAGTTTTTTTAACATACTTTTGAGCATATTGGGAGTGTGTTCTCAGTATTTTTCATTTTTCGCCCAAAATCCGCCTGCAGGGGGACACGCCCGACCTAAGTTTACGCGGTGCCGTGGTCCGGCCGGGAGTTGCGTGCGAAGGGGTGCAGGCAGGATCTCGTAAGAGTTGCGTGCGAAGAGGTGTATGCCCGCCGTGTTGAAAAGGGCATTGCCTGTCTCTGAGGCCTGCGCTCGACGATCTCCGTGGTCCGTAACACGCCGGTCTCTTTGAGAATGGTCTTTCTGGCGCAGCGCTTCATGCCGCTCCCTCCTCCGTGCTCCCCACCTCATGCTCCTTTACTTCCACTCCCTTCTCCCTGCTCCCTCCCTCTCCGCTCGCTGCTCTCTCTCTCTCTCTCTCTCTTTTTTGTTTTCTCTCTCTCTCTTTCTCTCTTTCTCTCTCTCTCTCTATCACTCTCATTTTTTTGTTTCTCTCTCTCTCTCTCTATATATATATATGTGTCTCTCTTTCTCGCTCTCTCTCTCTCTGTTATCTCTCTCTCGTGTTTCTACGTATGTATGTATGTATGTATGTATGTATGTATGTATGCATGCATGCATGCATGTATGTGTGTATATGTATGTATGTATGTATGGATGTATGTGTGTATGTATGTATGTATGTATGTATGCATGCATGCATGCATGCATGCATGCTATGTATGTATGTATGTATGTATGTATGTATGTATGTATGTATGTATGTATGTATGTATGTATGTGTACATATATATGTGTATATATATGCACATATGGGAGATCCGTGGCCCAGGGTCCTGGGGGGGACCCCCCTTGCACTTCGGTGTCCCCTCTCCCCGGGAGCCTCCCCAGGCGAGCCCCCGGGGGCCCCAGGAGGCCCGACCACCTTCCAAGATCGCTCAAGATACAGGCCTCGGAAAAAAATAGCGAACACTGATGCCACATTCATCTGTGAACGCCTCCCCCTCCCCCTAATATTCAAAGTTGGTGGTGGGTCTGATGAGTTGCACCGCGACCGAAGTCTCCCCCCGCGCGTGCCCACTTTGAGTTTGGGGGGCAGGGGGGGTGTTCACTAATTGTTTCCCTCTACCGTAGCCTCCGTCTGCCCCTCGCGGCTCGCAAAAGTGCCCCACGAGAGTTCCAAGACAGCCCCAGGTGACACCGCGACAGCCCCGAGGCGTCCCAAGACGTCCCAAGAGACCCTCAAGAGCCCCCCAAGAGGCCCCCCAAGGGGGCCCCAAGACGCAAAGATCGTCCCATTCCCTGGAGGAAACCTGGATGTTTAGCATACTCGTCTCTTGGGTTTTCACAACGTCCGCAATGGCCCACGAGGCTCCCAAGACGGCCCAAGAGCCCCCAAGAGGGTTCCAAGACGGCCCACAAGGAGCCCCGGACAGCCCAAGAGGCCGCCAAGGCGGCACAAGAGGGGTCCCAGAGTGGGAAATGTGAGTTTAAAATTCAAACTTTCGGCTCCAAAAGGCGCCAAGGAGGCCCCAAGAGGTCCCCAAGAGGTCCCCAGAAGCTCCCCAAAGCCCCCCAAGAGGCCCCTGGGAACCCCCCAAGAGGCCCAGGAGGAATAGGAGGAGAACGAAGAGGACGGGGAGGAGAGGGGATCAAGGTAAGCCCAGGACGCTTCAGATGCCCTCCCGTCCCAGGACCCCTCACATTTTCGTGTAAGCATTTGTAAAGCCCTCTGGAAGCGGCCCCTTCAAAAACGAGCCACGATGACGATGATGGTGGTGGTGGTGATGATAATAATTATGAGGATGGTGTTGATGATGCTGGTGATGATGATGATGATGATGATGTTGATGATGATGACGCTGGCGATAGTGATGATGAGTATGATGAAGATGCTGATGTGATGGTGATGTCGACGCTGATGATGGTGATGATGCTGATGATGATGACGACGACGATGATGATGATGGTGATGGTGATGGTTGTGGTGATGGTGATGGTGATAATGATGATGTTGATGTTGATGGATATGATGATGATGATAATGATGATGATGATGATGATGATGATGATGATGATGATGATGATGATGGTGGTGGTGGTGGTGGTGATGGTGATGGTGATGGTGATGATGATTATGATGATGATGATCACGACGACGACGACGACGACGACTACCACCCCCTAGATCAAAAAGTCGGGATCGGCACTGCAGGCCTCCTTGCATCGTCGCTATCAGACAGGGCCGGGAGCGTCGACACTCGATTGTTCCTGGACCGTCGATTTGGACCATGGCCTCCGAGATGACCCTGCGACAGGCCCGCGCGCCGAACAACGGAAAGGCACTGCAAGGCGCTGAGAGAGGTAACCATGACTTGCAGAAAGGCCCATGCAGAAGCGCAACTTTCAGGCAACTTCAATGGGACAGGATGTTTTTGGCGAGGATGTCCTGAGCGGAATCGCCAAAGTCCGGAGGCCTCTGAAAATTTCCGGTCGTCTGAAAAGCGACCGGGTTTTTTTTGGCTGGCCGTATCGGGGGGAATGCGAATTTCCGGTCTTCACCTCATTTGGCGACTATAATATGACATGGGGTGAGGATGCGCCCGAAATTTTGCCATGGCGGCCTCTGCAACATTGTACCGGGGCCCCAGGGCCTGACGGGAACCGAACATCAAAGTTTCTTCCTCGATCTCAGCAGTCCTGACTTTTAAATCCAGGGGGTTGTACGACGATGGTGATGATGATGATGATGATGATGATGATGATGATGATGATGATGATGATCATGCTGATGATGATGTGATGATGATGATGTTACGGACGCTGATGATGAGGTTGCTGATGATTTTGATGATGATGATGGTTTTGAAGTAAATGATGATGGTGATGATGCTGTCGATAATGATGCTGAGTATAATGAAGATGCTGATGTGATGGTGCTGTCGACGCTGATGATGGTGATGATGCTGATGATGACGACGATAATGATGATGATGGTGATGGTGATGCTTGTGGCGATGGTGATGGTGATAATGATGATGATGCTGATGAATATGATGATGATGATGATGATGATGATGATGATGATGATGATGATGATGATGATGATGATGATGATGATGATGATGATGATCACGACGACGACGACGACGACGACTACCACCCCCTGGATTAAAAAGTCGGGATCGGCACTGCAGGCCTCCTTGCAACGTCGCTATCAGACAGGGCCGGGAGCGTCGACACTCGATTGTTCCTGGACCGTCGATTTTGGACCATGGCCTCCGAGATGACCCTGCGACAGGCCCGCGCGTCGAACAACGGAAAGGCACTGCAAGGCGCTGAGAGAGGTAACCATGACTTGCAGAAAGTCCCATGCAGAAGCGCAACTTTCAGGCAACTTCAATGGGACAGGATGATTTTGGCGAGGAAGTCCTGAGCGGAATCGCCAAAGTCCGGTGGCCTCTGAAAATTGATGGTCGTCTGAAAAGCGACCGGGTTTTTTTTGGCTGGACGTATCGGGCGGAATGCGATTTTCCGGTCTTCACCTCATTTGGCGACTATAATATGAAATGGGGTGAGGATGCACCCGAAATTTTGCCATGGCGGCCTCTGCAACATTGTACCGGGGCCCCAGGGCCTGACGGGAACCGAACATCAAAGTTTCTTCCTCGATCTCAGCAGTCCTGACTTTTAAATCCAGGGGGTTGTACGACGATGGTGATGATGATGATGATGATGATGATGATGATGATGATGATGTGATGATGATGATGCTGATGGTGATGATGATGATGGTGATGATGGTACCGCTGATGATCAGCAGGGGGTTGAGGACAGGAGAGAGTTGGAAGCTCAGGTCATTTCTAGAAAGGACCATCGGGGCCCCAGCATTGTGAGTTTCATGTGCATTCAGGGGTCTCCCCCCTCCAAGATGGCTCCCTACGCGTCCAGCATACTCAGAAGAGGCCTTGAGGGGGCTCGACGAGGACCACCCAAAGGGCCTCCAAATCCAATTGGTACCACTGCTTTGCATGGCTTTGCATTGGGATTACAGCTGTATGCCATAGGCAGTCATGCGTCTCTGCTCGGTCCGCATTCCTGCTACTTCTTCGAACTGCGTTCCATCCATTTGCGGGTACGCTTTACATGCAGTTGTGAGCTTGTCAATGGCTGGCGCTTCCTAGAACCTAAACGCGCGCGTAGTTCGCGCGTGGTTCGGGCAGGCGGGGGCGAGGGGGGGGGGAGAGAGAGAGAGAGAGAGAGAGAGGAACACCTGGAGGAGAGGGACAACACGGATGACGACAAATAGGACGAGGAGGAGCAGGACGAGCAGGATGAGGAGAAGTACGAGTATGGAGGATGAGGAGGAGGAGAAGGAGGAGGAGGAGGAGGAGGAGTACGAGTATGGAGGAGGAGGAGGAGGAGGAGGAGGAGGAGGAGGAGGAGGAGGAGGAGTGGGCGGAGAGGGTGGAGCAGGGGGAAGGGGAGAAGGAGGAGAAGGAAGAGGACAGGGAGGAGAGGGTGTCAGGGTAAGCCCAGGACGCTTCAGCGATGTTGCCAGACGCCCTCCCGTCCCAGGACCCCTTACGCTTTCGTGTAAGCATTCATCTACCCCCCTGGAAGCACCCCCTTAAAAAAACGAGCGACGACCGATGATGGTGATGATGGTGGTGGTGTTGGGTGATGATGATAATGATGATGCTGATGCTGCTGCTGATGATGATGCTTATAAGGATGCTGCTGATGATGCTGACGCTGATGCTGATGCTGATAGTGATGCTGCTGATGCTGATGATGATGGTTATGATGATGATGCTGATGCTGCTGCTGCTGATGCTGCTGCTGATGATGCTGCTGATGATGCTGCTGACGATGACGGTGGTGGTGGTGGTGGTGGTGGTGATGATGCTGCTGATGATGCTTATGATGATGATGCTGCTGCTGATGATGATGGTGGTGATGATGATGGTGATGATGATGCTGATGATGCTGATGATGATGCTGATGATAATGCTGCTGATGATGCTGATGATGATGCTGATGATGATGCTGATGATGATGGTTAGAGTGACGAACGAGAGGGCATTGGAGAGGGGGCGTAGAGGAGGAGAGGAGGACCCAGGAATCTGAGCGGCGCCCTGCCGTCTCTTGGGGGGCAGCTGTGTGTTTTTGTTGCGGGGGGCGGCCGTTCAGAGGGTGCCTCGAGGGCCAGCGTCTCGCGGCGCCGCGCGGTGTACGCCCCCAAGAAGAGAAACCGAGGCTCCAGCCCAGGAGTCGCCCACTGGCTTCAACAAAAGACGCGATGTCATGGAAACCCTCCCAGGAGGAGAGGGGAGGGAACGAGAGAAGGAGAGGGGAGGGACGAGGGACGGGGGGCACCTCGAGGGGCTGCTCCCGGCCTTCGAGCGCCATCACGACATCACGGTGCAGAGAGAGACCCTGCGCGCGGCGGTCTACAACTCGCGGATGCTGCGAGGGCGTTTCTTGCCAGACCGCGCGCTGGACATCCTAGGACCACTTTTTGCACCGCGCTTCGTCGGACTCTCATGCAAACCACTTTGTTGTCATGATCTTCGTGGGGGCTGGCAGAATACAGCGCGCTGGGCTTGTCATGATTATGTAGTCGGAGAGAGTCAGGGGGAGAGAGTGAGAGAGAGGGAGTGATGTATATATATATATATATACAAAGAGAGAGAGAGAGAGAGAGAGAGAGAGAGAGAAAGAGAGAGAGAGAGCGAGACACAGAGAGATAGAGAGAGAGAGAGAGACAGACGACAGAAACAGAAACATAACGAGAGAGAGAGAGAGACAGACAGACACACAGAGAGACAGAGAGACAAAGAGGGAGAGAGAGAGAGAGAGAGAGAGAGATGTGGGCATCTGCCCGCAAGCAGGAAGCATGACCAAACGGCGGCAGAGCGTAAACGAGAGAAGGCGAGTGAGCAAGGGAAGGAGGCAGAACGGCAGACGCTCGCGAGGGCGAGTTTGGAGGAGGAGGAGGAGGAGGAGGAGCAGGAGGGGCACAGGGCCAGCGGGTATGTGGGAACACAGTGCCCGGTCCAAGGGGAGAGCAGACGACGGGAACGATCCGAAAGCGTTCTGCATCGGCAAACACGCCCGCCAGATGATGCCGCAACCCTGGCGTCCGTGGAGCGCACCGGCACAGAGGCCGACGGGAGGCCCGTGTGCACGCCAGAACATACTCGACGTGCAGCGCAGGAGACGGCGATGTCAGGACGGCTGTGCTTCTCTCTCTGCTTGCTGAGCTCAGCAGCATCAGCAGCAGCGCGGAGGAGGAGGAGAAGGAGGAGGATGAGGAGGAAGAGGAGGAGGATCAGAGGAGGAAAGGGCACCTATACCGCTACCCTTGCTTCGTTTTCGCTTATTTGGGCCTCCCAGGAGGCCCCCGTCGCCACCGCTGGATTCGCCTCGATATTCGGGTCAGAACCCACCTCAGGAGAGGTCTGGGGAGTAACGGCATTGGTACCTTTCGTTTCTCCCAGAGGAGGAGACGCGAGGGAGGCGGAAGGTAGAGGCAGGAGGAAGAAAAGGAGTGGTACCGAGGAGGATAAGGAGGACAAGGAGGAGGAGGAGGAGGTCCACAATGACTGTTTCGGCTCAGCTCGTCACCCGAAGGTGCACGCCTGGGGGGCGGGGGAGGGCCAGCAAGGCCTGGGGGGGGGGGCCCTCCTCCTTTCCTCTTCCTCCTCCTCCTCCTCCTCCCTCCTCTCCTCTCCTCTCCTCCTCCTCCTCCCCGTCCTCCTCCCCCTCATCCTCCTCATCCATCCTCCCATCCTCCTCCTCCCCCTCCTGCTCCCCCTCCTCCTCCGCCTCCTCCTCCTCCTCCCCCTCCTCCTCCTCCTCCTCCTCCTCCTCCTCCTTCCCATCCGCTTCCTCCCCTATCCTCCTTTCTCCCTCCCTCGTACTCCCAATCCTCCTCTCTCCCTCCTCGCATCCCTATCCCGCCCGCTCCTCATCCTCCCTCCTCCTCATGTCCTCTACCCCCCGTGCGGCACACCGTAAGCGCGGCCAGCAACACTACAACGTGTTCCTGGCCTTGCTGCAGGACCCTCGCATTCATAAGAGTTGCTGAACATGTTCAAGACCTGGTATGCTGCATACTTTGTTCCTCATCCTCTTCTTTGTTTTGGGAGATTACCGCCCCCATGCATAACGTCCTTTGTTGCATGTGCTGTGCGGCCATGGCCCTCCGACCCTCGGCGTCGCCTACGGAGTCCTCCTGCGTAACGCCCTCGATGTAGAATTCGGGAAGTCTCGGGAACATCTTGGGCCACAAGGTCGGACAGAATGTCCATATACGGCCCCCCCCGTGGTGCTGGTTGGTCGGGGGACGATCCGGGCCCTGGAAGCCAGGACATCCAGGGTCACCCCCCAGGTCGCAGCACTAACCGCATAAACAAACTCTTGGAGCTCCGCGCGGATTTCCTGGATCGGCGCGGGACCCCCTGGCGGGGCCTCCGGCGCTGTCCTCTTTTGGTTGCTCGAAACCAGAACATCCAGGCCCCCCCCAGGAGCGCGGAGGTAATCGCGCTCTGCGCGTCGCTGCTCGGGTTGGGTTGGAGGGGCGCCCTCCTCGACGGCGGCGGCGCGAGGGCACGAGGAGCGCCGCGCGTCGCGCGCTCCGTGGGGCGCGGTGGTCGAAGTCGGGTGGCCTGTGCAGGCCAAAAAAGTCTTGTTCGCAATGAACGCGACGCCGCCGGGTGGCTCGTGACAATGCGCCTTTATTGAGCGGGCTCTGCCTCCTCCTCCTCCTCCTTCTCCTCCTCCTCCTCCTCATCCTGGTCCTCCTCCTTCCTCCTCCTCCTCCTCCTCCTCCTCTTCCTCCTCCTCCTCCTCAATGCGCCTTTATTGAGCGGCCTCTGCAGAGTTGGGAGTCGCACTCGGGCGCTCTTTGGTGGGCCGTCCCTCCGCGGTTGGCGTGCGCGCTGGGCTCCTTGGCCGTGTACCGTCGGGGCCCTGAAGAAGGAACCCTTTTCGTTGGGGAGGAGGAGGAGGAGGAGGAGGAGGAGGAGGAGGAGGGGGAGGAGGAGGAGGAAGAGGAGGAGGAGGAGGAGGGGGAGGAGGAGGAGGAGGAGGAGGAGGGGGAGGAGGGGGAGGGGGAGAGGAGGGGGAGGAGGAGCAGGAGGAGCAGGAGGTTTCACAGCTTGCCTCAGGTTTTCCTTATGTTTCCGATAGGAACTCGAAGTTTAACTGATGGAGAAGCAAGAGGGCTCGTTCCTGATTTGGGGTTCCTCAGGTCAACGCCCCGACTGTACCTCCGCACCCGCGTACCTCGATGCGCTGTCTTCGGCTCGGGAAGACGGGGACAGGCTCCCCTCGGCGCGACTTCAGTCTCGTCTCGTGACCGGCGACCAGACTTGCAGGATCTGAAAGCTCTGGCTGGAGAGCCAAGCCAACCGAGAACGTTTCGACCCATGGCTGCAGCTTTCCCGGGCGCGCCAGTTTCTTGGGTCATCAACGTTCCCGTCTGCGGGGCCGCGAGAGGAGGATGACGCTGAGGATGTCCAGTGGATGGAAAGAGCGGCGTGGGGCGGCGACGCCGCGACGAGGAGGGGGGGGGACGAGGACTGGGAAAGGCGGCAGCGGCGACGACGAGGACGACGACGAGGACGAGGGCAGAGACAGATATCGGAGACGACGGTGGCAGCGGCGACGACACTGTGATGGCGGAGGCGGCGACGTCGACGGCCGCGAGAAAGGCGACGACGGCGCCGAGGGCCACGACGGCGCCGGCGCGGCGACGCCGACGACGGCCGCGCGGGCCCTGCACACGGTGACCCCGCAGGGGGGCTCACGCTGAGGCAGAGGCTCGAGAACTGGCTGCGCCCACGCTCGCGGCTCTGATGCCGGGCGCGCGCGCGCGCGTACGCGCTGCCTGTACAAATGAGCGTCTCGGCGGGGTCCCGCTCTGGCCGGGTGGCCTCCCTCGACGTGGCCCTTCTCGCCGCGGGAGGCAGGGCAGCTCGCACAGGTGCGCCGGTCGGGGGGTGCCAGAGGTGCACAGAGAGCAGGGCGAGGAGCACGAGAGGAGGAGGAGGAGGAGGAGGAGGAGGAGGAGGAGGAGGAGGAAGAGGAGGAGGAGAAAGAGGAGGAGGAGGAGGAGGAGGAGGAGAATGAGTAGAATTTGAGGAAGGAGAGAGAGAGAGATAAAGAGATAAAGAGACAGAGAGAGAGAGAACAAGAGAGAGAGAGAGAGAGGAAGAGAGAGAGAGAGAGAGGAGAAGGAAACGAGATGAAGAGGAGGAGAAGAGGGGCAGGGGGAGGAGGAGCAGGGCAGGGTAGGCAGACCTTTTTGCTTGCACTGCTGCTGCCACGTGCTCTGGCCTCCTGGGGGCCGTCCGTCGCCGCGGCGGGAGCCGCCTCGGCCTCCTGGCCGGGGCGCGCCCGGGGAGAGGCGTCCAGAACTCTGGCTTTGAGGTGTTGCCGGGTCCTCCCAGTAATTAGCACCAGTCCTGTTCGGGCCAGGCTCAGGAGGGGAAGAAGCACACAGACACGATGAGTCGTCGACTCCCAGGAGAATACAGTCAAAAACCAGAACAAGGACGCGCGGCTTTGCTCAGGGAGCCCTTGCGTCCTTGCTCTTCCTTGCTCCTTGCGTCCTTGGGGTTTTGGTCGTCCGCCGCCCCAGAAATCCCAACTTCGGCTTCCAAGGGTCTTGCGTCCTTACCGCGCGTCCTTATTAGATTTTTGATTGTAATTCGCACCAGTCCTGTTCGGGCCGGGCTCAAGAGGAGAAGGAACACACACACACACAGACACAAGTAGTCGTCGACTCCCAGGAGGATATGGGGAACTGTGGGAAGTAGGGGGGGGGAAAGACGAAAGCCCAGAGAAAATATAGGAGAATGTGGCGGATCCTGGGGCTTGTGTCTATCTATTTGTGTGCCCCTGGGCCCCTTTGCAGGCCTGGGCCCAGGGGTGGGCCCGGCCAGGGTCGTGCCTACCTGGCGCCTTCCTGGCCAGCTCGCCGCTGCACCAGTCGGCGACCGACGCGTTCGATCCCGTGCACCTGCTGCTGCCCCGCCTCTCCGAAGCAGAAACACGCTATGAGCATAAACGTTGGCGCTCCGCGCGGATTTCTTGGATCCGCGCAGGGTCCCCCAGGCGGCGCTTCCGGCGCCCCTCCTGGCGCGGAGCGCGCCAGGGGGGGGGGGGGTCCAGCGCAGATCCAAGAAATCCGCTCGGAGCGCCAGCAGGCTCTGTTTATGGTGTTTTTTTTTCTAGAGGGGCAGGACACGGATACCAGGAATTCGGCCCCCAAAGAGGCCGGATTCTCACCGACGCCCCTCCCATCGGGGCTCAAGAGACGGTGGTCAATGCAAAGGGGGGTCAGTCAGAGCGTCGGGTCCTGCAGGATCTGGCAGGGTCCAGGCCGCATTGACCCAGATTTGGGTGCAGGATGCTGCAGGATTTTGCAGGATGCTGCAAGGCCTGCCTGACCCGGGCCTGGATTGACCCAGACCAGTAGATCTCCGACCCCACTGCGCCAGTAGATGGACAATAGATTCGAACCCTTACACGTTCGAGGGAGATTCTAAATCACCCCCGCGCCCCCGACATCAATGTTGATCTCAGTGAAGGCGGTGCTCTGGGCTCGACTATGTCTGTCCACTCCCGCCCCCCTCCGTCGCCCCGCCATCGACATCAGTTTCGGGAGGTCTGGGGGGCATCTTGGGCCACAGGGTTCGAATCTACTGTCCGTGTACTCCAGATTTCGTAATAAAAGGGAGGGGGGGTCTGGACCCTCCAAGACAAGCTATTTCAGACCTCCCCGTGGGAGAACCCTCCAAAACATCGTCCCCAGACCCCCCCAGGCCCTCCAAGATAGCCTGGAAGAGACCCCCCCGAAATGAGACCCCCCTCCCTTTATTACGAAATCTGGAGTGCGGGCCCTCCCGCAGAGTTCTGGTGCGGGCTGGGGCGTGGACGACACGTCGGCTGCCTGGCCAGGCGGGGCCCTCCGCGAGCTGCGCGCGCCATTTTCCAGGCCCCACGCCCGCCGGCCGGCCGGCTGCACGATGCAGCCGCGGACGATGCCTGGCGGCGTGGTGCCGGCTGCTCGACGCACCGACACCCAGCTCCTCCTCCTCCTCCTCCTTCCTCCTTTCCTCCTCCTTCCTCCTTCCTCTCCCCTCCTCCTCCCTCCTCCTCCTCCCTCCCTCCCTCCTCCCTCCTCCTCCTCCTCCTCCTCCTCCTTCCTCCTTCCTCCTCCTCCTCCTCCTCCTCCTCCTCCTCTTCTTCTTTCCTCCTCCTCCACCTTCTCCTCCTCCTCCTCCTCCTCCTCCTCTTCCTCCTCCTCCCTCCCCCTCCTCCTCTTCCTCCCCCTCCCTCCCTCCCTCCCCTCTCTAGAAGTCTCTCCCCTCCCTCCCTCCTCCCTCCCTCCCTCTCTCTCTCCCTCCCTCCCCCCCCCTCCTCTCCGTGCTCCTCCTCCCGCCCCCCCCTCATGGCGGAGCTGGGGGGGGGGGGCGGGGGGCACGCGCTTCGGCCTCCACGCCCATACTTACCACCTCGGCGAAGAGCAGCAGGGCAGGGTATAGGCCAGCTCCAGCAAAGCCCGGCGACGGCTCCCGCCCCCCCTCCTCCTCCTCCTCTCGGGGGCGGCAAAGAGGGGGGTGATGACTAGGGGGGGGGATATCATGGCGTGGGCCATGATATTTCCCCAGATTTTATGGCGCCTCTTCTTATTTCATTACGTCCCTGGCCCCCCCGCTGGGCCGCGCACATGCCGCCGGTCATGATCTGCACCCCCCCCTCTTGGACACCCCCCTCTTGGCCGCTCCCGATCCTCGAGGCGAGGGAGGGTGGACTCTAGGCCTCCCAGATGGGGTCGGAGCAGATGGGGTCGGAGGATCGCGCCGCATCGCCCGGTGCGGCTTGATGCGGAGGCCGATGCCTTGGCGGTGCGGCGCGATCATCCGACCCCATCTACTCCGACCCCATCTATCGGGGGCGGAAAAGAGAAGGGTGATGACTAGGGGGGGTGGATATCATGGCGGTGGTCATGATATTTCCCCAGATTTCATGGCGCCTCTTCTTATTTCATTGCGTCCCTGGCCCCCCCGCTGGGCCGCGCACATGCCGCTGGTCATGAGCTGCACCCCCCCCTCTTGGACACCCCCCTCTTGGCCGCTCCCGAATCTAGAAGGCGTCCAAGGACACGATCGGGAGAAGAACGAGACGAAGCGGGGGTCCGCGGAGCCTTGGAGGCGGCCAGGGGGGTCTGAGCTGGTCGGGGCCCGAGAAAACCGGTCAAGAAGGGGGGGATGGGGGCAACTCCGCTCAGCATCGGTCCCCCGACCCAGCCTGGGGCCCATGTGGTGCAATTTTTCTCACTCTGGATCCCTTCTTTGACGGCCCCAGGGCCTGCAAACGGCTCCGGGAAACCGGAAAGGCGACACACCTGGTCGAGCCCAGCGCCTCGAACCTGCCCCCCCCCCTTCCTGCTGGCCAGAACCAGAGCTGGGCCACCTCGGGCCCACAGCCGGCTCCAATCGGATCCCGCTCCACCGCATGGAGCGTAATGAGCTTAGCCTGGGGGCGGGTGCCCGGGGGGCGGGTGCGTGGCGCCAGCGCCGAGCAGGAGCCATCATAATCGTAGGCATCGTCGTCTTGCCATCGCTCGGACGTCCACTCCACGTGCCATTTTCGGTTTCGTGCGCTGGTTGTGCACCGTGTCGCTCAGGAGGGGAAACACACACAGTCACAGACAATCGTCGATGTCAGTTCAAATTATCCCGGCAAAGCAACCTAACAGCGATGTGTAGAAGCATATCTGAAAGCATTCCCCTTAAGATTCAGATGAAAATCCAGTTGTAGAATTCTGCTGTTCTCGCAGTCGTAGTCGCATTCGCGATGACAGTCGCAGCGGCAACGGCAGTCGCAGTCACAGCCTCAGCCTCAGCCTGCCTCAGCCTCAGCCTCAGCCTGCCTCAGCCTCAGCCTGCCTCAGCCTCAGCCTCAGCCTGCTTCAGCCTCAGCCTCAGTCTGCCTTCAGCCTCGGCCTCAGCCTCAGCCTGCCTCAGCCTCAGCCTGCATCAGCCTCAGCCTCAGCCTCAGCCTGCCTCAGCATCAGCCTGCCTCAGCCTCAGCCTCAGCCTGCCTCAGCCTCGGCCTCAGTCTGCTTCAGCCTCAGCCTCAGTCTGCCTTCAGCCTCGGCCTCAGCCTCAGCCTGCCTCAGCCCCAGCCTGCCTCGACCGCAGCATCAGCCTGCCTCAGCATTCAAAATGTGGCCCAGGAAAGGGAGTTCTGGGAAGTCGAAGAGCACGAAGTTGCCTACAGTTGGCTACGGGCATTCAAAATGTGGCCCGGGAATGGAGTTCTGGGAACTCGAAGAGCACGAAGTGGCCTACAGTTGGCTCCGGGCATTCAAAATGTGGCCCGGGAATGGAGTTCTGGGGAATCGAAAAGCACGAAGTGGCCTACAGTTGGCTCCGGGCATTCAAAATGTGGCCCGGGAATGGAGTTCTGGGGACTCGAAGAGCACGAAGTGGCCTACAGTTGGCTCCGGGCATTCAAAATGTGGCCCGGGAATGGAGTTCTGGGAAGTCGAAGAGCACGAAGTGGCCTACAGTTGGCTCCGGGCATTCAGAATGTGGCCCGGGAATGGAGTTCTGGGAGGTCGAAGAGCACGAAGTGTGTGACTGTTGGCTTAAAACGACTTCTGCGGCACCCTGTCCGGCACCCGCCCAGACCCCCCTGTGGAGTCATCTGCTGCTCTCTTTTGAGACTACTAGAAACCTATCAGTCTTCGCTGTTAGGTAATATGGTAACATTTGGGAAGTGGGGGGACGACGAAACTCCAGAAAATATAGAAACATATGGGGAATCCCGGGATTCGTGTCTGT